TCACGCTGCTAACTTCAAGATCGACAGTTCAAAACTACCAGCTGTTCTGCGGGAGAAAGATGAGATTTTCTGCTCCCGTAAAGATTTGCAGCCTCGGAAACCCTGTGCAGGGTCACTATGAGTCGGAACTGACTCCACGGTACTTAACAACAACAACAAAAATTTATAGCCTTGGAAACCCTATATAGGGTCACTATGAGTCAGAACCAATTAGACAGCAAGCAATCAGCCAACCTATAACAATTAAATATTTACTTAAAAAGCATGCATAAAAGTGAGCCCTTGGTTGGAAACATGCTGAAAAATTAAACTGATGCACCTGTAGATAACAGAATTTAAGGCCCTTCTCTCAAGAAAAATTAGCTCCTCTTGCTCAACAATCTAAATTGTAAACGGTTGAAATACTAAATAGTAGGATGTAGTTATTAAAAATACACACAATGCAAGTACTACATAATCCCAGGTAATCAATTACACAACAGACTCTGGATCACAGCCAGTCCTGAAGAAGTACAATAATATCCCTATAAGGCAGAAGGCTGGTCTACAGCTTTATCTCCCCCTCCTAGTCTCCCCAGCATGAGCCTCACAGTTCTCTGTACAAAGAGCACCAGGTTAAAGGTCAAACTTGCTCCAAGCTGCAGTCAAAGGAATCCAGAAACAGCAAACTCAGATTAAGTGACATTTGCAAAAGCTACCAAAACGATGGTTATTGTTTCTTTGTAACAAGAAAAAGAAAGTAGTGGGAGGTAGTAAAGGAGAGCAGGTAAATTGTTTTAACATTTTAAAAACTCATAAAACTTAAAAACATTTTAAAAACTTTTAAAATTCCCGTTTGAACGGAGCAAGCAGGAAACACATTATGGGAGCACACATAGTATCATCTTTTCTCTGCACAAGAATCTCGGCTCAAAGAGTCAACCACCAACCTTTCCATGGAAGAAACAGGTGGCAATGTGCTTCCATAAAGAATACACCTTGGAAACCCTATGGGGCAGTTCCAGCCGATGCTCTCGGATCGCAGTGTGTCATGTTGGAATCAATTGTATGGAAACGAGTTTGGTTTGGTTTGGGGTTCTCAAGCACCGCCCCAAGATGCTTTCACCAACACTCTCCACTGAGCCTCATCGGCCACAGAGGCAGCTGGACTTTTCTAAATTGAGGGCCCTTAACTTTTGGGGAAGTGGATGGAGGCTGTTGAGCCTTCAGAGGCCCTGACTGAAATATTTCCAGTACACCTAGTAGGAGGGACAGCCTGAGCCAACGCCCCCACCGGTCGCTGCCAGCACTGGGTGGCCAGTAAAGCGAGCGGGATGCGCTACCCGCGCGCGGGACGCCTCACCTGGGCGATACCGGCCCCCATAAGTCCGCTGCCGATGACTGTCACATGCTTGAAGACGATTTTCTTCGCAGAGGCCGAGGCGGTGGAAGAGGAGGACACGGAGCGCACGAACTGCCTGGTCACGAAAGCCATAGTGCGGCAGCAACAGCGATAATGACAAGCCCTAGGCAGCGAAGAACTAGCAGTGAGTTGATTTCTGGGTGCCAAGACGCAAAAGGCAGCACCTCCCCGCGCGCCGGGGGAGACTGAGACGTCACCTCCTGATGGGGCGGGGACTCGCGGTCCGCTGTGCCCAATGGTCGAGGGCGCTGAAGATGGCGTTCGAACGTAGGAGCGTTCCTTCCAGCCCACGTGAGCCGGTCCAGGCCACGGTCTTTAGCTGCGCTGGGTGTGAGGGGCGGGCTGGAGCTTAAGTTTTGTGACCTGACCTTGGAGCTGGGATGCTCGCGTTGCTGTGTTGGGCTGAGTTCAAACGTTCTTTGTAAAAAGTCATGGGCTCCTTCTGTAATGAAGTGCACTGTGTTGATTTGTAAGCTGCTTGTGCATTCCTAAAGGAGTCCTGGTGGCGCTGGAGAAGCACTGGACTGCGAACCGCAAGGTCAGAAGTTCAAATCCACCAACCACTGCGAAGGAGACAGCTGAGACTACCTGCTCCCGTGAAAATTTCCAGCCCCAGGAACCTCTGATAGGGTCTTATGAGTCGGAAGCAACTCGAGAGCAGTGGAGTTTTTTTTTTGTTTTTTTTTTTTAGTACATTCCTAAAAGAGCCCTGGTGGCCCTGTGGGGTTGGTGGTGGGCAGCTAACCTCAAGTTGTTCAAACCCAACAGCTTCTCCAGGGCAGAAAGATGAGGCTATCTGCTCATGTAAAGATTTAGGCTTAGAAACATTGAGCTCGTTCAACTCTGATGCCATGTAGGGTTATTATGAGTCAGAACCGACTTCTTAGCGTTGGATTGGTTTGTTTTGTTATTTGATTTTGTGCCTTCCTAAACCTGCTCTGGTAGCCTAGTGGTTACGAATCAGGCTGCGAACCGCAAGGTCAGCAGTTCGAAACAACCAGCTAGCTATTCCACAGGAGAAAGAGGAGGCTTTCTGCTCCCCTAAAGATTTACAGCCTCGGAAACCCTGTGTACAGGGTGGCTATGAGTCGGAACCGACTCCACAGCACATAACAACAACAACAAACCTGAATAAATATTTGCTGTATGGCTCTTTGGATAGTGGAATACAAAATGTGTGCTGTGTGGCTCTTGTCCAGTGGTTACGGATTGTTTTTGCTAATACAGAAGGAAACTTCAGCTGTTCTTATCCAGAACAATTATCTAAAGAGAGTGTGTTTCAGTATTAACCCATGAGTGCCAATGCAAGGCTGGGAAGGGAAAGTTAGCCTTTAGTTCCACTTTGTAGCTAGGAGAAGATCAATATAGTGAACAGGTGGACTGACTAAGATCAAAGAACATTGTTTATAGAGTGTCTCATGTTAAGTGCCCTCAGACAGTTCTAACTCAGCAACCCCTGTATAGATTTCTGAGGCTGTAAAATTTCACAGGACCAGAATGCCTCATCTTTCTTCTGCTGTTAGTGGACTCCCAACTGCTGACCTACACTAACACCATGGCTCCATTTTTTTTTTTTCTTTCTTTCTGTATATCATGGCCCAGTTGTGGAATGGGCATTCAGGTAGCTGCCTTTCAAAGTTCTTGGCATAGTCAGGAGCCCCTCCACTGCTGCATCAGTTTGTTGAAACATTTCAGTTATATCCTGTCAACTCCTGGAGCCTTGTTTTCCACTAATGCCTTCAGTGAACCTTATACTACTTCCTTCAGTACCACTTAGTTCTTGATTATACGGTACCTTGTGAAATGGTTGAACATAAACCAATTCTTTTTGGTACATAACTCTGTATTCCTTCCATTTTCTCTCACTTCTTTCTTTAGCATTGAATATTTTGCCAAAAGAACCCTTCAATATTACAGCCTGGGCTTGAATTTTTTTCTCAATTCTTCCAGCTTGAGAAATTCACAGCATTTCAGCACACTGAAGCCTTTTGTTTCTTTGAACATTTCATTATAATACTTTACTTGGGTTCTCAATCTGCCCTTTGAAGTTTTCTGTTCAGTCTTTTACATCTTTTCTATCAGGTCCTGGAGCGTCTCTATGCACAAGTGTAAGTTTCAGAATCTCTTCTGACATCCATTTTGGTCTTTTCTTTCTTGTCTTTTTAGTAACCTTTTGCTTTCTTCATAGATGATGTTTGATGTCATCTCACAATTCTTCTGGCCATGGTCATTAGTGTCTAATATCTGTTCTTGAAATGGTATTTAAATTCAGGTGGGATATATTCAAGGTCATATTTGGGCTCTAATTGGAGTTGCTTTATTTTTTTTCATCTTCAGCCTGAACTTGTGTATGAGCAATTGATGGTGTCTTCCACAGTTGGCCCCTGTCCTTGTTTTGGCTGATGATACTGAGCATCTCAGTTGTCTCTTCCTACAGATGTGGTCAATTTGGTTCTTGTAGAGTCCATCTGGTATACTCCAGGTGTATGTTGTTGTTGTTGTTAAGTGCTGTCACGTTGGTTCCAACTCATAGTGACCCTGTATTGGGTTTCTGAGGAGCAGCTGGTAAGCTTGAACCGCTGACCTTGCGGTTCAAACTGACTTTATAGTCCAGTGCATTAACCCACGGCGCCACACCAGGACTCCCCAGGTGTGTATAGTAGCCATTTATGTTGTTGAAAAAAAGGCATTTATAATGAAAAAATAATTTGTCTAGCAGAATTTTATCATGGGATCTCCAGCATCATTTCTATCACCAAGACCATATTTTCCAACTACTGATCCTTTCTTTTGTCTCTGACTTTCACATTCCAATCACCAGTAATTATCAATGCACCTTGGTTGCATGTGTGATCAATTTCAAACTGAAGATGCTAGTAAAATTCTTCTTAATTACTGGCTTTAGTGGTTGATATGTTCATTTGAATAACAGTTGTACTAATTGGTCTTCCTTGTAGGCATATCACAGAGATCATTTTACTTTAAGATAGATATTTAAATTTTTTTTTTTCCTTTGTCTTTTCTGGCATAGTAAACCATAAGATTATCCAATTTGAATGGTCAGTACTAGTCCATTTCAGCTCATTAATGCCCAGGATCTACCACTCCTCTGTCAGTTTATCATACTGTGGTTATTTGCATGTTGCTGTGATTCTGGAAGCTATTCTACAGGTATTTTAAATACCAACCAGCTTACCTATGGTGGACAGGTTTCAGCTGAGCTTCCAGACTAAGACAGACTATTAAGGAGAGACAGCCTATTTCCGAATGTTTAGCCACTGATAACTTTATGAATAACAATGGGACACTGTAAGCACCAGAATATTGAATATTGAAACACAATGAAGAGCACCAGAAGATGAGCTCCTCAGGTTGGAGGTAGAGACGGGGACATGGAGAGAGGGAGCAGCTGAGGACTCTAGATTCATGGAAAGAGAGGGACTGAGAGCTGGCAGCCAGGAGGCAGACTAGCAGAATGTGCCCTTTGGTGGTGTAAATTGTTATATAAGCCTCAGTGTTAAAAAAACAAAAAAACAAAAAAGAGCTGAAATGAATAGAGAGAAAAACTGTTATCCGATGGTAAACGGAGGGGATTATAATCATTGTAATGAAACAAGGTGTATGATTTGTTTAATGTAAAACTGATGATCTGCCCTGTAATTTTCACTCAATCCACAATAAAAACCAAAAAAAAAAAAGTACATTAACAGGAAACAGCCAGAGGTTAAAGCTGGATTCAGGCAAGGATATGGAACAAAGGATATTATTGTTTACGTCAGATGGATCTTGGTTAAAAGCAGAGAATACCAGAAAGATGCTTACCTGCACTTTATTGACTATGCAAAGGCTTTTGATTATGTGGATCATGACAAACAATGGACAACATTGTGGAGAATTGGTAATCTGGAACACTTAATTGAACGTGAGAAACCTGTACATAGAGCCAAGAGGTAGTCATCGAACAGAACAAGGGGACATTGAATGGTTTAAAATCAGGAAAGGTGTGGGCCAGCGTTGTAGTTTTCACCAATTTTGTTCAGTCTGTATGATGAGCAAATAATCTGAGAAACTGGATTATATGAAGAAGACAATGGCATCAGGATTTGACGAAGATTCATTAACAAACTGTGACATGCAGCTGATAAGCCTTGATTGCCAAAAGCAAATTTGTACTTACTGATGCCAAAAGCAGTAAATACTTACTGATGAAGATCAAAGATCATAGCCTTCTGTATAGCCTGCACCTCAGAGTAAAGAAGACACAACTCCTCACCACTGGACCAATAAATAACATCATGATAAATGGAGAACGGATTTCAATTGACAAATACGTCATTTTCCTTGGATCCACTATCAAATACTCACAGAAGCAGCAGTCAAGAAATCAAACGACAAATTGCATTAGGCAAATCTGCACAAGACCTCTTCATAGTGTTCAAAAGCAAAGATGTCAGTTTGAGGACTAAGGTATGCCTGACCCAACCCATGGTATTTTCAATAGCCTCATATGCATGTGAAAGTTGGACAGTGAATAAATCCATAGGAGAATTGATGCATTTGAGTTAGGTTGTTGGAGAAGACTGTGAAAAGTACCATGAACTACCAGAAGAACAAACAAATCTGTGTTGGTAGAAGTACAGCCAGAATGCTCCTTGGAGGTCAGGATGGCCAAACTTTGTCTCTCATACTTTGGACTTATTATCAGAAGGGACCAGTCCTTAGAAAAGGACATCATGCTTGGTAAAGTAGAGGGTCAGCGAAAAAGAGGAAGACCCCCAACAAGATGGATTGGCACAGTGGCAGCTGCAATGGACTTGATCATAACTGAGGGTCAGGTTTGTGCAGGACTGGGCAGTGTTTCCTTCTGTTGTGCATAAAGTAGCTATGAGTTGGAACTGGCTCAACGGCATCTAAAAACAACAACAACAATGCTTAGGATATTGATTTTGATGCGTTCTGTTTCAATTTTGATGACTTCTAATTTTCCTATAATCATACTTCATAACATTCCATGTTCCAATTAAAAATAGATGTTTGCAGTTGTGTATTCTCATTTTGAGTTGTGTCACATCATCAAATGAAAGTCCCAGAAGATTTGCTTCAGTCACATC